CGCCCGCCCCCCCCCGGCTCCCACACTGCATCCCACCTAGATGGAGACGCTGCCGCTGCCCCCATGGAGACGGGACCCCAGGCGGGGCCATCCCCGTGCTCCACTGCATCCCACCCGCCCGCGGTGGAGGATGACTTCCAGTTCGTCCTCTGCGAGGGCTGCCGGCAGGAATCGCCCAACCTCAAGCTCCTCACCTGCCTCCACACCTTGTGCCTCGAGTGCCTGAGCGAGAACAAGCCCGTTGGGCAGTGCCCCGTGTGCCGGACGGCCATCCCGCAGGCCAGCGGCATCCCCGACATGGACAATCTGCTCTTCAGCAACCTGCAGGCCAGGCTCAACATCTACAAGAAGATCAGCAACAGCGGTGGCCCGAGCTGCAGCCGGTGCCGGGGGGAAGCGGTGGCGGTGTGGTGCTCCGAGTGCGAGGAGTTCCTCTGCACCAAGTGCTTCGACGACCACCAGTGGTTCTTCAAGAAGAGGAGCCATGAGGCCAGGAGGGTGGAGGACCTTCGCGCTGAGTCAGCCCATCGGTTCCTGGAAGACACCAGAAAGTCCTGCAACCTCTTTTGCTCCAGTCCCAGTCATGCCAACCAGGGCCACATCTCCAGGTGAGAGGGGTGCCTTGTCCCCAGGTCCCATCCCGCACAAGGGCTTTGGGGCTGCTGCTCCAGGACCAGCTCTGCCAGGCGGGCAGAGCCAAGGGGGTTTCATCGCCTCAGAAAGGCACCACTGCAACCCCAGCGAGAGCCTGGGCAGGAGCAGGGTCTGAAATGGGGCTGGCAGGTCCTCGGGAGGAGGGAAGGGAGCGAAGGTGGGTTGAACACCCAGCTTTATGCCCACATACGCTGGTGACAGGAGGCAAAGCCCTTTCCTGCCCCCTGGCCTCATTTTCCCCTCTCGTTAAACTCCTCAGCTACCCCTTGGGGGGGGCTTTTCTCCCCCTGCTCACGTACCGGCTGTGAAGGATGCTCCTGTTTCCTTCCAGCATCTACTGCAAGAAGTGCGAGAAGGCGCTGTGCTGCTCGTGCGCGCTGCTGGACAGCCAGCACGCCCCGTTCTGCGATGTCCGCAGCGAGACCCGGCGCAGGCAGGAGGAGCTGGGCACCATCAGCCGGGAGCTGAAGCAGAAGAGAAGCATCTTCGAGGCCACCTTCACAGCGCTGCAGGACGAGGCGGCGCGGCTGGAGGAGGCGCAGCGGGAGATGCGGGAGCTGATCCGGCAGCGCGTGGAGCAGCTGGTGCGGCTGATCCGTCGGGAGGAAGAGGAGCTGCTGGGGCTGGTGGAGGCGCGGCAGGAGCAGGGCCGCCGGGAGCTGGCGAGGGAGCTGCAGAGCATGGAGGGGGGGCTGCGGCGGGCGGGGGGCGGCGGGCGGGGGCGCTGGTGGAGCGCGTCACCGGGCACCCAGGTGAGGAGGCGCGTGGCCAGGCACACTGGGGAAGGGGGAGCGACAGCAGAGTTAAAGGTTCTAATCCCTAATCTAAGACCATATTCTGCGTGGGTTTCGAGTCTCCTTCTGCGTGGTGACTTGATGGACCTGTGCCTCCAGCCTCTGCTGGTGCGGTGGGCACCCTCCGATCTCTCCCAAGGACGGGATGCAGGTGTTGCATCCCTTGCTGCCAAAGCAATGCTCACCTCTTGCCCTTATGGTGGTCCCCCAAATGTGGTTGTAATGGGAAGGAACGTGGTGACTCTTTTGGGATAGAGCCATGCCACGGGTTGAAGGACAAGGGAGGTGAGTGGCAGATGGAGATGAGGCGCGTGGGTGGAGCAGGAGCTCGCAGAGGCTGGTGGAGCATGTCACTGGGCACTCAGGTGAGGACTTGCCACAGGGATGGACCCAGCCACCCCACAGCCCCCCAACTTGGGCCAGCTCAGAAAGCCATCATGCAGCTCTGGGTCCCACCGGGCTCAGAGCCACCTCCCTGCAACAAAACGAGCCCCAGTTCACTCTTGCAGGGTGCTTATTTCCACTGGGGCCAAGATTTGCTCCTTTCCTGACATGGCCAGAGCCCCTTTTTGGTCTCCCACCAATGCGACAGGCTCTGGTGATGCTGATTTCTGGGTCTCCAGAGGCTCCTAAACCCCTTGGCCATCACAAGCCGAAGGGCTGGGAAAAGGGCAGGAGAGCAGAGCTGCCCCTTCCTTGCTGCAGCCGCCGGGCAGGTTTTTCCCAGCTTGGCTGCTGCTGCTGGGGCCGGGTGGGAGCTCCGGAGGCTCTGATTCGGCATTGCAGCCCCTCTCTCTCTTTCCATTGCAGCTACCAATTCCCAAGCTGTCCCCATGGTCGAGGTGGCGCTGGAGAACGACCTGGTGAGATGTCCATGTTTTGTCCCGGGACACTGCCGTGCGGGGAGGGCTACCGCGTCAGCCAAGGCACAGATCCCCCCCTTCCTCTCACCTTTGCATGCCTTCCCCAAGAGACTGCCCTCCTCGGCCCACCACTCCCTTTTCTTTCTTAACAAGCCCCCAGGGCTGTTTCTGCCTGGGCAGAGAAGAACCTACCTTGTAGCCATCATTTTCCGCTATCCGGGTGTGCTCCTACTCCATCCCGCTTTTCCAACCCTGCTGCTCATCCCTCGTTTTCAGCAGGGAAACCATAGCCTCCCCTGGCCGTAGCGCTGCCAAACACCCGCAGCTCAAGCACAAGCCTTGAGCCAAGCTGGAGGCCCCAGCTGTGCCTCAGTTTCCCCCCTGCTGAGGATGTTTCTACCCCTCCCGTGCTCTGCCCGCTGCCCGGGGACGCCCCAGCACTGCAGAGGGGTCAATAGCCTCGAGGTTCACCCTAACGCTGCTCCGCGCTCTCTCCACAGCAAGAGGAGCCAGTCCAGCCCGAGAGCCAGAGCATCTTGCCCACCTTCACCATCAACCTGGAGGAGATGCAGATAGGCCCGGTAAGAATGGCCCCAGCCAGGTGGGAGCCTTTGGGGACTGGAAGATGCCACCTCGGTACCTGACATCCCCCATGCTCTCCTCTCTCCAGGCTCTCCCCGTCACCGCATGGCCCAGGCGGAGGTCACACAGCACGGAAAGCGACAGCCAGGTCTCACCCAAGATACTGAAGCTGGAGTGCAACACACCGATCCCCAGCGACCCCAGTTCAAACCAGTGCGATGACAGAGGGGGGCCCAGCACCTCCGCACCGCGCCAGAACTGCAGCAGCATCCTTGCCACCAGCAGCCACGCTAATGATGCAGGTGGGGACCAGGGACGTGACCCTCCTCATTACCCCATCTCTTGCCCCACTTCATGGGGGTCCCCCATCTTTCCCAGCCTCTGTGCACTCAGAGCCTTGGCCAAACCCCCCTGGGTCAGAGAAGCAGAGGGTGGCAGCTGGTTCCAGGGGGGGAACACGAGGGCAATGCTCAGAGGTGGACGCGGATGCTCCATCCAGCTCCATGTCCTGCCTGCAAGGTAGCCAAAAACCAAGCCTAGGGATGAGCATGGCAACAGGGCAAGTGTGCAGAGAGACTCTCCTGCCTCCTGCTCCAGGAGCTCTGGATTTTCCCCGTTGTGAAGAACACTACGATTTTTAGCAAAGCACATTTTCTTCCCTGAGCTCACCCAGCCCCGCTCCAGCCTGCTGCAGCATCCGGCAGCGAGCGGGATGATGAGGGGACTGGAGCATCTCTCCTACGAGGAGAGGCTGAGGGAGCTGGGCTTGTTCAGCCTGGAGAAGAGAAGGCTGAGAGGGGACCTTAGAAATGCTTACAAATATCTGCAGGGTGGGTGTCAGGAGGA